TTTAACAGTTGTTAACTTGACATATAACTTTTAGATATTTAGAAATATAGCATGTGGGCTTCCATTTGTACTCTTTCCTTAGGCTCTGCAAATGTTAGGGGTATGACTTCTCAAATTCTGAGTCCACGGCCCAACTTAATATAATATCTTCTTTTAAATCTACTTAACTTCATAAGTTTTCTAAAATATTACACAACCTTCTACCCAATTACTGAAGCCAGAAAATTGTCACTCTAATACTTCTTCACACCTGACACCTAATCACCATTTTTTTTTCCACTTTTTTAAGTCTATGTCCTAAATGTCTTTAGAATTTGTCTTCTCCTCAGAGATCTCTCTTGGCCAGCCTCTGCAAAGCAGCTTCTTCTACCCTTTCAGCTAATAGCACCCAATCTGTATCGAATTTCTTCCTTGTACCTATTAATTTGGAATTTGTCATATTTATGTACTTATTTATCCATAATCAATCTCTACCTCTACATTATAGTTCAGACTCCAAGCAGTTGTATCTAGCTCAGCGCTGCATTTGTTGGGTCTCCAACACTGCTGTCACATGACTGAATAAATAACTTTTTAAATTAATGAATAAATTTTCTGTGTCCACATAGATATTCATTGGGTTTTTTCTATTTTTTAAATATTTATTATATTTTTATTTCAAAGTATTACAGTCATACAAATACTTTGGTTACATAAATTGCCTTTGCACCAACCAATAAGCATGCCCATCCTCAGACAGTGCACGCTGCATCCATTAGGTGATATTCATTGTTGAAAAGAGAATGTCTGATTTTAGGCGGCTCTTTACATAAAGAGCAAGAAATTTAGTGTATCTGTGCAATTTTCTGATGCACACAAAATTTCATCATTGGTCTTACAGCTGCACTTAGCATCTGCTTTCACCAAATGTCCAGAGAAATATTCCCTTAAACAACTCAACTTTCTTAGCTGTGGTACTGATTAATAGCTCATTGTTCAAGCAAACTTAGGGTGATGAAATACGTTTGAATCTTCTAGGAAATCTGTTACTCTGACAATCCTTTAGACTTCATTCTTGAAAATCCACCCATTCTTTTAATACAATACCATCACAGTTTTTCTTAAAAGACTTTCATATTTTCAGGTCTATTTCATTCTAGAACATAACGTCTTATTAATAATAAAAAAATAATTAAACTATACATTTAGCAAATAAAGGTGTTCTTTAACCTCACACATGGTTTTCAAAATTATTTGACCCACATGAAAAAAGTTTTTTTTTAACCTGTGTATTTTAATGTCAGTGTGTCTTGATATTGGTAAAATAAACATAATAGAGTGCAAAGTTACTTCTTATATTAAACACAACCTAGAAATGATATGTTGATTAATGTCTGATTGTAGACGTATGTATTATAAATGTTTCTCCAATTAGATATTTTTGTCCTAGTAAGATTCTCAACATTTCCAGTGGAATTCCATTACATTTTTTCATTTTTCTCTTTCCCATAGGAAGAGAACTTCCTTTCTTTGACTGTATTATTTTAGTCTATAGAACAGATGGCTTTCAAATTATTGAGCTTGCTCTTGAAAAATGTCTTGGGAAATGCAAACTTAGTCAAGAAAACCTTTAAGCAATTTTTCAAGTGGTTTTTATAGAATTAGTCTATGGGACATAGTTTTGAAAATGGATAACATGATTCATAATTAAGATAATATAAATTCAACTTCATCTGTACTTTCTTAATGAGTAAAATACTTTACAGACAGCTGGAAAGATTTAACTGTATTAATGGTATATCACTGAATATAAGCAAAACTTCAAAATGAATTTATTTCAGAGAAGCAGAAGAAAGAAACTGATTTTAATTCTTATCAACAAGTCATTTGTTTGCTGTTTCTTTATAAATTGCTTTATGTTTTTTGAAATTAGTTTATCACACCCTCATCTGAACACTGAAGTAGTCTTCCTATATCTGCCCTTAACCCTATCCTGTCTATTCTCCACATGTACACCAGTTATCTTTCTAAAACTTATACTTTTTTGCTTCATTCTCTTGATTAAAAAATCTCAGAGGCCCCAGATTTCAAAGATGGCATCCACAGCCGTCAGGGTTTGAGCCCAACCTGAGGAGTTCAGCTCCTGAGAAATGCATGGTTTTTCAGGCCTGACCATAGGCGAGTACAAAGACATTATTGGGCAGACCTCACGGGGGAAATGTGCTTCCCCACACTAGACAGACCACTGCCTCTTCTGAGGGGAGTTGCCATCAAGGACTGGGCCCTTCTAGTCGGTCATTCTCAGCATATTTGCATTCCTAACCATGGGGTTTCCTTCACAGGTCCCTGATCTGAGGCCTTGGGCCGAGGACTTCTTCGCTCATCTCTGCCAAGGCTTCCCTGTGGGGGTGGGTGGGAAGGAGAAGACTTGAAGGCAGTTTTCTCCACTGTGACTCAGCATTCCAGGGTCCATAACACCTCCAGGTCTTTTGTCCCGGGTGTCCCACTGTGAGACAACTACTGTGATACCTGACCCTCCATCCATTTCAAAAGTGGAACAGAGGGAATTTCTCCAGTTTCAACTCTTCCTACACCATAGCAGGAAGTCATTAAAACTTTACCTTTCTTTCCTTTTCGGTTTGTGGCTCCAATGGGCTACGCTGATATCTCTCCCACCTCTGCTGAGCCCCTGACACCACAAGCCGCAGCTGACTTCACCCTTGACATCTGTGCTCCAAGGCATTTCCCCCCTTGCTCTTCTGTTTTTTGCTGGTGTTCTTTCCACTTTTGAATAACTCTCTCAGAGACTTATTTTAAATCTGATCTATTCTGTCAGAATTAATTGCTTCTTCTTCTGATTTCTTCTCACTCGGGTGGTTGATTGAGAAGTGATTCTTATTAAAATATTTTAAATTATGAAATTATAGAAGCCACATGGCTATGTTACAATACATTTGAAAAAGAAGACAGGAAATAAACAGCCTTTAATTATCCTACCGCCCTAACGCAATCTTCATTATCATTTGGATATACATTTTCAAGCCGTTTTTCATATCCTCACTATTTGGATTTATTTTTTATTTAAAAATATTAAGGGAGTACAAATATTTTTGGTTACATGAAGGATGGCTTTTGTGATGCTTGAGTCATGGATATAAGTGTGGCTGTCACCCAATAGTGTTCACTGTAATCGTTAGTAGGTTTTTGCCCACCCCCGCCTTGAGTTCCACTGAGTTTACTTCCCTCTGTGCACATGTGTGCTCATTGGTTAGCCCACTATTTTTTATTTATTTATTAATTTTCAGCATGTTATGGGAATACAAATGTTAAGGTTATGTATATTGCCCTTGCCCCCCTCCCCCCTCAAGTCAGAGCTTTAAGCATGTTCATCCCCCAGTTGGTGCATATCACATTCATTATGTATGTGTATACCCATCCCCCTCACCTGCCTGTCACCAGATAAATGTTATCCCTATATGTCCACTTAGGTGTTGATCAGTTAATACCAATTTGCTGGTGAGTACATGTGGTGCTTATTTTTCCATTCTTGGGATACTTCACTTAGTAGAATGGGTTCCAATTCTATCCAGGAAAATACAAGAGGTGCTATATCACCATTGTTTCTTATAGCTGAATAGTACTCCATAGCTCACTATTTTTAAATAGTGACATAATACTTACAGTGTAACTAGCCATTTGTTCTTACCCGCCCCCAACAGCATGCATGCAATAAAAGTGTCTGGGTATTGATATATAGTCTTCAAAGCTATTGTTTTAAAGACATTATAATAATGTATAGTGAACTAATATAATTTGCTAAGCCATATTGCTAAACATTTGTTGTTTGAAATGTTGCTAATTTAATTATATGAATGTACCAGCAGAGGTGAGAGCTAGTGGTGATGAGTATAGATACACTGTCTGAGAGAAGAGTGAAGCACAGGGTACTAATTTGAAAAATCAAAGACTTCACATACTGCCACACAATACAAATTTGAAGAAAATGAAACTATCAAGGCATACTGAACTCAGAAGATTATGTAGGAGTATAGGGCTTTTATGACATATCCATCATTCTTGGGTCTGCATGTGGACTGTGAAAGGTGAAAGTTTTCAGGTATTTCTTTCTCCTTCTGAAGAAACTACTTTAAGAAAGAGCTTCCAAGGGAGAAGCAGCTTGTCTCACACACCCTATGAAGCCAAAGAACACGGACTGCTTCCTTGTAAAGAATATGACATAGTACCTACAAAAGAAAACTCAATCTTATTGTTTTAGGAGAAGCAAAAAAAAATGGAAAATAGTTTAACATAACTAAAAGAATATCTGTTTGTTCTTTATTGCTAAAGCCTATGGCTATGTACACTTCCATTTCCCTGGCTTGTGAGCTTTTTACTAAATTAAAAGATAACCCTAATATCATAAAGGTCACTTAAGTAGCTGAAGGTTATTACATCAAAATGATGATCAGAAGAACATAAAAGAAGTGAACCCAAGTTATAGGAGATATTTAGAGTGGCCATAATTTCTTCTCACTTTCCCCTTAAGAGTTCCTATAAATACAGGAAACCTCCTAGGAAATGCAACTCCTTATTGTCAATACATCTAGGATACATTTCCACATATCTGAGATGATATATATGCGCACCAACCTCAAAGCATAACGAACAACTGAATTAATGACTTCTTATCACTCTACTCAGTCACAATGTCATTTTTTAAAACTTAGTAGCTATTAATTTAGGCTCCCCTTCAAAACAAATAAACAAACAAAAAAACAAAACACAGAATTATGTCAGAGTTTTGTTAAGATACTAACCGGTAAAGCATTATGTGGAAGTGAGGATAATGCTTTATTCTATTCACTTCATGACTAGAGAAAATAGTGAGGTTCTCTGTTTAGTTGACTTTTTAGAGCAGTTGAGAGAATTATGCAAATGTCAAGCAAACCCAAGTGAAATTGTGTCTACGATTAATATTCCATGGAGAAGTAGACTTTATTGTTGCTGCCTTAAATGTTTGATATTTTCCAATTTAATATGTAACCTTTTCTTTTCCATCTTCTCATTATGGTCTACTAGTTCTCCCATTTGTTACTTATAATAAACATGGACTTTCCTCAAATGCTCTGCACTCCAGAGCTCCAACTGCTTTCCCTGAAACTCTCTCAGAGAATAGGGTGAGTTAGCAAGAGATTCGAGTAGGTAATCCAGATGGTGGATGTTTGACCTGTATATTACAATAAAAAATAAGAGACTTAATTTAGCTTTTGTTTTAATTCTGTGACTTGTCCAAGTTTCAGGCTATTCACACCAACATACTGTTTAAGATCTATGGAATAAAAAACAAGCAAAAATAATTATGCACAAAACATTCTATCGTGAGCAAAAAAAAAAAAAAAGAGAGAGAGAGAGACAATGATATTGAAGTTAGTGCCTGACACCAACTCATCAATATAAATAACCATCTTAGAATTTAAAAGAATGGAAATCAAGAGAAATCTTGATTAATTTTCAGCTCTGAGAAACATGCTAAGTATGTCCCTTAACCAAGTACTCCTCACATGGTGAGGATGAACTGAAACTGTGTCCATGAGGTGGTGAGGAGCCCAGCGGGAGAAAGCAGAGCACAGAGCCTAACACTAGCTGAGCTGTACATTTTCTGCCCATATTAGAGCAGACTGATGAGAGTGAATGTAAACTTGATGCGGAAAATGTCAGGTGCCAGGACACGGCCACTTGCTGCCTCCCTGTTGCTCCACATCTCTGCGGGCCAGCGCTGCACGTGGCCGGTTGGAGGGCACGCTGCTGGGGCCGGGCCCTGCTGTGGAGCTGCTGGGGGGCCCCTGTGTGCCACCAGGTCCCACATATGTCCGCTGTCCAGGCCGTGCTGGGTGCTCCACTGCCTCCTGTCATCCGGCCTTGCTGCTCCCATGATCCTGATTGGGTAATTTTTGAATCCACTGTTGCTGATTGGATATTAAAGCCTATTGCTGATTGGATGTTAAAGCTTGTAGTTGATTGGATGCTTTTTGAGCCCTACCAAGGATATAAAAGGAGTAGAACAAGGAAGGGGGGTCAGAAGATCAGAAGATGGGAAGAGAGGTGTAACACTAGCTGTGCTGAGCCCGAGTGGAGGAATAAAGGCTGTTCTCCACTCTTTCTGTGCTGCTTGGTTCTTTCCCCGGTCAAGAGCTGTAATACTAGCTGTACACTTGCCACAACAAACTGATGTCTTTTGTATCCTCAACAACTCTTCTGCTTCCTTTCTATTATTACCTTTATCACCATTACTTCCCAACACTGAAATCACTGTTGCTCCTTAAGGCAGTTCAGCGGGTGGCTCATATATTCTTGCAACAAAAGACCAGGGTTTGAATCTTACTCCACCACCTTCTACCTGCACATCTTTGGGCAAGTTGATTAAACTTCCTAATGTTTTCTTGTCTACAAAATGAGGAAACAGTGCACACTTCATGGAATTGGTGGAATATTTAAGTGACTTAAAATGCCTAAAATGTCTAATTTAGTGTGAGCAACTGTTAGGTGTTCGATAATGGTAGTTGCCCTCACCCTAAAGGATACCAGTGCCTATTCTTCTGAAAAAGAAGTGTCATTCATCTTTCTTGAAGAATCTTTGCCATTTTATCAATCTAGTCACCTGGGAAGCCTTCTATCCTCTATTTTCAGGTCTTTTTAATTTCATGCCTGAACTATTTCAATAGTCTCTTAACTTGTCTCTGATCTCCAAGTTCTTCCCCCTCCCATATCCCTTGTTCACTGTTGCCAGACTAATCTTTCTAAAGTCTCCTTTTGACCCTGTCATTCTGCTCCTTAGAAATATTTAAACGATTTCTAACAAATACAAGGAAAATTCAAAACTGCTCACTGATACGGCAGACCAGCCCTTATTCTAATATGAACTAGCTAGCATTTATTTCTTAGTATCTGTTAAGTTCCAGGAGCTCTGCATACATTGTCACTAATGCTTAAAACAATACAGCAAGACAGGCACTATTATTCCAATTTTACATTTAAGAAATAGAGAATCAGACAGATTTGGGAACTGGATAAAATTCAACGATAAAAGGTAGGGTAGTTTGAACTCACAATTGGTTTTGTTTCCTATCAAGTCTATATCCTTAATTATAACATGCTAACTCCCAAGCAATTGTACCCTTACCTTATATTGTCTATATATTCCAATTTTTTTCCAATTATTTGGTTACATGGTGGCATCCACTATGAGACTATGTACTCTTAATATGGAGGGATTATGTCTTTTTCTTTTCTGCATCTCTTTGCACCTGTTTGGCATAAATGGGACACTCAATAAAGTACATATTGAATGAATGGATCAATTATTAACTAAAGACAAAAAGAAGACATTAGGAGCAATCTGAGGTGATGTTTTAGGGCCTTTTGCAACCTGAGTGCAGTGTGGTAACCGTATTTTGAATATGGCAAAGACACTAAAAGGCATGAGAACAGTATGAAAATCAAGTGAGAGATTGAGGATGAAAAATTCGTGGCCACATTTTAACTACATCTTGTTTCTCTTCTTTCATAGTAACAGCTTCTTTCACTACAGTGGTTTAGCCTTTTATCCTGTATAAAACTATAAATTGTACGCTTTTAGTTACATGATGAGTTTTGCTTCGCTTCATGTCATATTCTGTCCTTAATAATAATTGTAAGATGAATTAGGGTTCAATTTCCTGTGGACTTTATATGAACTAGTGACTTCATTACTTAAAGGTGATTCCTAATTGTAGCTTTGTTTTAGAAATAATGCCATCTGCTTGTGGAAATACAAATAACTTTTTATTACCCAATTATGTCAATCAAGGTCTAATTCTGAACATACAAAACACAATCCTATTCAAGGTTTAATATTATCTTCCAGTGTGTGTGCCGTGCGTGCATGTGTGAGTGTATGTGTGACATCAATTATATTTGAGTAGCTGATAAATGATGAAGGCATTAATTTCTGCATTTAGGACTTATAGATTTGTTTACAAAAATAATTTTATATCAAAAGTCAATAAAAATCATTTCAAGCAAATGAATGTAATCAGTCCAGTGACTCTCAAATTTAAAGAAACAAATGACTAGACTCAAAGGGATTTTCAACCTAACCTCTAATATATAAGGTAAGCTTGGTTAGGGGTTTAAAAATATGCATTTTAAAGTCCCCTCCACCCGCCACGCGACATACACACAACAGTGGATTGCTGTAAGTTGAGCAATTTCTTTGCAGATGCCTATATTTTTGCACTTTTCAAGTATATGAATTTCCCTTGCAGTAGAGAATTGGCAATATATCCTCTCACAATTCATTGCCTTTCAACACTACAATGATTAGTGGAATAAGTAAGGCAAAACTGCCCCTTGCAAAACTAATTAATACTAGTTAGGCAGAGAAATGTTGGCATTAACCTTAACTCAAAAGCAGTTCCCGAGCTTTGTTGATATATTTGATGATAAATAAAGGACAAAGAGAGACTAATGTAAAAAACATCAGATAATGACAGAAATAACAATACTATAAGTAAAAGATAGATTCAGTGTTTACTGAGACCGAGTAATTCAATTTCAGTCACTAGAGTTTAGATTATTGATTATTTTAAATCACAAAGCATGAATAACTAAGATAAAAACACCATGAAGCAATAATGGTTATTTATCATGATTGTAAAAATGATTTTATTTATTTTATTAGGCATGTTTCCACTCTCTTTATGAGAGGTAGTAGATGTCTGCATTGCTACATAATTGGTTTCGGCTGCCAGCCATCTGACAAAGTTAATTATTACTTGTCTGTGTTGCTGTCCTAGGAGAGCTTCCAATATTTACAGAATTTAGTTTGAAGCAGTTCTATCATGTAGTAAGAGGGGAAAATGAAATTTTTATGCTTCCTTTATGCAAGGAATATGCTCGATTTGCACTATAGACATAGTAAAATCTATCTTTTCATTTAAAATATTTCCATTTTCTCATGCTAAAAAGATAATAATTAAAAGTATTTATAAACCACAAGTCTTTTAAATACATTACCTTAAAAAAAAACCTTTCTTGTTACTGTCTGAAAACTCTTTGTACAGAAAGAATTTGTCTATTATTCTTGGTACCTACTCTCAATACAATTCTGTGTGTGTGTGTGTGTGTGTGTGTGTGTGCGTGCTTTAACAAAGAAAACTTTGTTACTTCTAACTTTATCCAATTATAGTTGTCAATCAAAAAGAAATAAGAAAAACAATTACCAAACATCCTGGTAAAATGATGATACCACAGCTATTTACTTAGGGTGACCATATATAAAAAAAAAATTCATCAAACTCAGACACTCTTAAAGGAGATACTGTTAACATTAGCCAGGCATAGTAGCTCACTCCTGTAATCCTAGCATTTTGAGAGGCCAAGGCAGGAGGATAGCTTGAGGCTAGGAGTTCAAGACTATTAACATTATGTTAAACTACATGAAAATTGCTATGTTTGTAGGTTAAAATGATCAAATATTGATGATGTCATATGGTTTTCACCTATAGTCACTAGGGAGCAAAAGGAGAAAACAAAGAATGCCCCAAGCAAACTGAGATGTGTACAGACCTTACTTTTCCTTCCAGAAATGCTTTCCTTCATAAAGTATGGTGTGGCTTCTTCAAGGTACACAATCATATGAGGCTAATTGCTTGTTGTGAATTAATTGCCCACTATGGGGCTGGAAGATGTCTATGCACATCTGGCATTCCTGCACATTTACTTCGAATTTACAAATAGCAAACTTTACCACATTTCCCATCATACTTTTATGTGGTACCAATTTCAGATTAAAGCAAATAATATGTCTTTGCTTGTAGCTTGTATCTCTCTTTGCTTACCTATTTCTCCTTTTAATGTTTCTCTTTCTTTTCCCATATCATCCCACAGTACACTGTACTTGGGTCAGCCTTCAACTATTCTCCATTACAATATAAGTGTCCAGAAGTGGGATTTTTGCATGATATGCTAATTCTATTTTTAGTTTTTTAATGAATCTCCTACTGTTTTCCAAAATGGCCATCCTAATTTACATTCCTACCAACAGTGTACAACAACAGTTCCCTTTCCTTTCTTTACACACTTGCCAACACTAGTTATTTTTCATCTTTTTGATAATAGCCATTCTAACAGTTGTGAGGTGATATCTCATTGTTCTTTTATTTTGAAATTCTTTTAATTTGCAATTTATTTTGCAATTTGTATGATCACTAGTGATGTTGAACATTTCTTCATATGTTTGTCGACCGTTTTACGTCCTCTTTGAAATCAGTATGTTAAAGAGATGTCTGCACTCCTGTATTCATTGCAGCATTATTCAAGATAGCCAAGATTTGGAAACAACCTAAGTGCTCATCAATAGATGAGTGGATTTTAAAAATGCGATACATATACACAAATAAATACTATTGGGCCTAGAAAAGAATGAAATGTTGTCATCTGTGACAACATGGATGAATCTAGAAGACATTCTGCAAAGTGCAATAAGCCAGGAACAAAAAGACAAATATCACAGAATTTTGCTTAGATGCGGTATCTAAAAATTTGAACTCAGAGAAGTAGAGAGTAGAATGGTGGTTACCAGAGGACGAGGAAGAGTGGGATGGTTGGGATAAAGAGGAAATGTTTGTCAAAGTTTCAGTTAGAGAGGAGAAATAAGTTCTGGTGATCTGTTGCACTGCCTAGTGACTACAGTCAATAATAATGAATTGTGTATTTCAAAATTGCCAAAAAGAGAATTTTAAATGTTCTTACCATAAAGAAATGGTAAATATGTGATGTGATAGACATGTTAATTAGCCTTATTCACCTATGCCATAATGTAAACATGTACTAAAGAATTACATTGTACTCTATAAATATATACACATGTTATTTGTCAATAAAAATAAAGTTTTAGATAAATATGCATGGCTACTTGCCAGAGGAATAGCTTAGTAATTTGCTATACAACCTATTAAAGTAATTTATATTACAAATATTGATGAATAATTAAAACCTAATTTGTTCTTCTACCTAGATCTATAGGTAGATTTTTATCCCTCACTCCCCCGTTAGCCTCCTTGCTTCTTAGTTTCCAACGTCCATTATAGCCCCTTATGATCATACATATCCTTTGTTTAGCTCCCACTTGTAAGTGAGAACATGCAATATCTGTTTTTCCATTTCTGAGATATTTCACTTAGAATGATGGTCTCCAGTTCCATCAAAGTGCTGTGAAGACATTATTTCATTCCTTTTTATGGCTGAGTAGTATTCCATGAGATATATACATATATATATATATATATACACACACACCATATTTTCTTTATCCCTCATCAGTTGATGGGCACTTAGGTTGATTCCATATCTTTGCAATTGTGAATTAAGCTGCAATAAACGTTCTTGTGCAGATGTCTTTTTGATAAAATGACTTCTTTCCCTTTGGGTAGACACCCAGCAGTGGGATTGCTGGATCAAATGGTAGGTCTATGTTAAGTTCTTTGAAGATGATTCTCCATTCTGCCTTCCATAGCAGTTGTACAAGTTTGCATACATTCCTATCAACAGTGTACAGGCATTCCCTTTTCACTGTAACTGCGCCAACATCTATTGTTTTTTGACTTACAGCTATGAAATTAATCAAGTTTATTGCCTGTATCTAGTTTATTTTCATTGCTATATAGCATTTTTGCATGTGAATATGCAAAATGTATTCATCATAATGTTGATGAACTTCTTGTTCAGTTGTTCAGGAACTTGCAGAAAAGTGCTGTTATGAACATTCCTGTAAATGTCTTCTGGTGCGCATGTGTACGGATTTCTCCCAAATACTTGGGGGGTGTGTGTGTGTGTGTGTGTGTGTGTGTGTGTGTGTCTGTGTGTGATATTCTTGGATCTTAAAGTGTGTACATGTTGAAATTTAATAGAGTTTTCCAAAGTGGCCATACCATTTAATATTTCTAACTGCAGTGTATAAGGGCTCCAGTTGTTTCAAATCCTTAGAAGCACTAGATATTATTGGTTGTTGGTATTTTTAAATATTTCCATGGCTAACTCTATATGAATAGTGAAATCTCATTGTGATTTTAATTTGATATTTGTGATTATTAATGAGTTTGAGTACAATACCATACTTCAGTTGGATATATTCTATATCATAATGAGGCTGTTAAAATCTCTTGTTTATTTTTCTAAAAATTGGTTTGCTTATCTTTTTCTTATTGAATCAGAGGAGCTCTTTATATATTCTGGATCTAACCCCTTTATTGGTAATGTATATTGC